TTTAATTGACTACTTCATTTTCCTTAATCTAAAGGAAAATGATGTATAAAGCTCCTATATATAAAACATTAGTTACATTGATCGACACATGAGTTTATCATGTAATCAGGGGGCTAGACACTGATCGACGCATGCATTAATCTCCCACTATCACCTCAAGCATTTGAGCTCAAGGAGGTGCCTACAGCCAGCCCCTACCTAACCACAAGAGGCATCCACCATTAGAAGTTTAGAACCAAGATGATAGAAACATAATGGTCATTGGCCCACCCATGAAACCCAATATTGCTTTGATAATTCTTAGCCTAACTAAATTTAACATAAGATGCATATAGGTGAATAGTGACAACTAAGCAACCACACCATAAGGCTATAATAATATTTGAATGCAATAAGCTTAATTACCCTTTTTTGCGTTAACATCAATGTCTGCGTGTACATGACCAAGACACGCCATGCTCACGCATGGCTAGTAGGAGTCTACACTTGTCTACTATTATTATATATCGATCTTCAACGGCTCCTATTTCTCAGCTCCGAAGACCTTCCCGTCTTCTCCACCTTTAGCCTCATTGCTACCAAATTATTGATAGCTAAATTAGCTGCACTTAGAATCAATCCTTTATGCATTATATCACTACGTTACTACGGAGTACTTACTAGATTTCAAGATTCAAAAGAAGTAGCCCACCTGAATTGGCTCCGACCCATTAATTTAATTTCAAACACATATATTAATATTGGGCTTAATCCATATTTTGACCCGACCCGGCTCCACATCAAATTTTAAAAGGCCAACATAGTTCTGGAAATAAACATGAAAACATCTTTTCACTATTTGCTTTATCTCAATCTCACAGCACTTTACTAGAAATGTTAAACCCTTCTTCAACTGCCTAAAACCCTACCCAAAAATAATTAATTTTTTAAAAAATTCAATCAATGGGTTTGCAATCCATTTGTTGTTCTTTTGGATCCCCGACGATTCCTCAATCCCACTCTGTAAAAAATGTAATTTTTTTTTTCAAATTTGGTTGAAAATTCTTCAATTTCATGGAAAATTATATTACTAATTCTATTATTTTCTGGGTTTGATAGGTTCGTTCGACTGTGATTAATGCAGGGCACCGGAAGATTCAGCTTAATAATCTTGCTGAATGTAAGTATAATATATTGTTGTTCTAATGATTCATTTTATTGCCCATTTGATTTGATATAGGCTAAAATTGTTCTGAACTTTCTTGCTTAATTTAGTTTTCTGGGCCCTTATTATGGTTTAATTTGAATAATTTCTTCAGCATTTGCAATCTCTAATTCGAAATGGGGTTATAATGTTCAAATGTTGTGTTCATTTTGCTTTAATTTTTTTTATTGCCCATTTGATCATATGTTAGCTAAAATTGTTCTGAATTTTCTTGCTAATTTAATTTTCTGAAGTCTAATTGTGGTTTAATTTCTTCAGCACATGCAATCTCTTATTCGAAATGGGGTGATAATATTGTGTTAATTTTGCTTTCATAATTCATTTTATTGCCCACTTGATTATAATTTGGCCAATTTGTTCTGAATTTTCTTGCTAGTTCAGTTTTCTGGGGTCTAATTATGGTTTAATTTCTTCAGCATATGCAATCTCTAATCTGAAATGGGGGGTTAAGGATTCTCTGTTGCCAAGAGTAAAGGAAGTCTCTAGGATTTATGCATTACATTCTGATTCGAATGAGATATTGGAAGTTCCCTCAAAGAGTAATGCTAATATTCCTGAGGTGCATTCTGATTTGCCTGCGAAATCAAAGCTTTCTTCTAAGTATGACAGTGTTGAACCGTTTGGAGGGAAATCGGGCTCGGTTTCGTTTTATGGGTTAACTCACCATGCTATTGAAGAGAGCAAGCTGTCTTCATCCCCATATAAGGATGATGGTGGTTCTGTGATTTGGATTCTTGCACCGCTTGTTCTGATACTATCTTTGATACTCCCTCCAATAATATTATCAAATGCATTTGATGGTGTTTTCAAGAATGAGGCCCTTGCAGGTAACTTCCTCATGCTATTTGTTTGAATAGGTTGATATATTTGATGTCTACTGTCTAGTGCTTGTTTCATTTTGTCCAATTGTCAATAATAGTTTAACTAGGAACTATTGGCAGGAATTGATATGTATGCATTCACGAGTGCTAGCACAACACCCACATAAATGTCTAAAATTAGAGTTTGCAGGACTGAAATTGCAGTCTGCAGATTAGTGCTAGCATGACACCCACATAAATGTCTAAAATTAGAGTTTGCAGGACATAACTATTGTAGTCTGTAGATTTGTATAAGTATTTTACGGCTCTTGCTTATTACTGTGTATTGTCACAAAGTTATAATTTGATAGAACTTGATGCACTGGCAATGCCACTATGCCAGAACATCATAATCATGCAGGGCTGTTGACAAATTTAAGCTGACTCTATAGAGATAGCTCTTTCCCTTGCATACTTTACCGAACAATATGCTTAAACAATTGTGTCGTGTTTGTGCAAGTTGGTGATTTTGTAGACTCTTCACTAAGCTATCTACTCTCCTTTTCCCAAAATTTTAACTTACATTTTGTTCTCAAACATTGCAGTGTTTATCCAGTATAGTTCATCTGCTTGTTACTAGAACAAATTAATTTTTTGTCAATTCAAGTGCTCTTTAGTTGTCAAGATAAATTTGACGAGAGACTTCCATCACAAATCATTATAGTAATTTAGAAATTAATGGTCATTAGTTCACGAAAGGAGTTCTTTTTTAGTCGACCTCTTCTCTTGCAGTATTCAATTATTCATATATGGTTTGTGTACTAAGTCCTCACATAGTTGTACAACTAATTGCGATCTACTATGTCACAAAACAGAGATTGTTGGTATCCTTTCTAGTGAAGCTGTGTTCTATTCTGGTATTGCAATCTTCCTATTAATAACTGATCGTATCCAAAGGCCATATCTTCAATTTAGTGCAAAACGATGGAGCCTCATAACCGGTCTGAAGGGACACCTATCTACTTCTTTTTTTGCCATGGGTCTGAAGGTAATTGCTCCTATAGCGGTAACTTACGCCACATGGCCAGTGATTGGCATGAATGCTGTTGTTGCAGTTACTCCCTTGCTAGTTGGTTATCTGGCTCAGTATGCACTTGAGGCTTTTATTGATAAACGAGGATCAGCCTGTTGGCCTTTAGTTCCCATTATCTTCGAGGTATCTGTTTGCTTCAATTAATTCTGATCTTTTCTTATCTTACCTATTTTTCCCTTATGAGTTATGACTGTTACTTTTCTTGGCAGGTTTATAGGTTCTATCAACTAACTAGAGCTATAACTTACGTTGAGGGCTTGAGATTTGTAATGAGTGGGGTTGAGGCTACCCAAGAAGTGGTAGAGAGAAGCGGAGCTTTAGCAGCAGTGTCTGTGACCTTCTATTTTGTCGCTCTGGTCTGTCTATGGTCGTTATTAACATTTCTCTTGAGACTCTTTCCTTCAAGACCAGTCTCTGAAAAGTACTGATCTTTCTTATGCTGTATATGCGACTTTTTTTTCCCCTTTCCAACTCTAGTGTAAGCAAATGCAGAAATTTTCAGCTTATGTACATCACTGTCAAGGCAATGTGTTGTAAATGTCTTCGAATTTACAGTAGAAAGTTGTGTGGCATTGGGTTGTCATTTAAGTTTCAGGTTTACTGTATCTGGAATCTCACCTCATGATCTACTTCCCCCTGCCTTCATCTGCTGGTAGTGTGTACTGCAACGTCCTGGTTGCAGTGGTTGCAATGGGCATATTAGCCGCTCTGCTCTACCAATTTTCTTCGAAGTTGCCTTTGTCTAACAGGATTGGAAGATTTGAGAAATTCGACATAGATGAATCTTTTAGGTGTAATACAATGGGATAAAAGTTGATTAAATGTGGTTCCTATCCTGTAATCGGTTTTGAAATGAGATCTTTAATATGGAGTATGTGAAACAAAACATATTGTGGTGTAGATAAAATGTGATGTCCTATAATTCTTATCAACAAGGTGAGTTTCTGTTCTAGTTGAAGCCTGTAAATTTCTAAAGCCGTATGAAATGGAGGCTAGCAATTTTATTAGTGTTTGGGGGCTTACTTAGTTTGAAATATATGGAAAAGCAAATCCTGAAAATGTATAGATAAGTAAAGCTATAGAATTTATTACATATCACTGGATTGTTTACTGAGCAAAACTATTGAAAAGTGCTTCCCCTTCTTTTTAGTCACATAAAAAACAGAGAAGACAGTTAGCCAAATGAAACACGACACTTAGTAAGTGGTTGCACACTTCCATTGTGTACTTTCTATGGGAGCTGTTTTTGCTTTATTTGCAGGATTTTACTATTTATTTCCAAGAAAGTGTATTTGTAGAACATTTACTGCATTAAAATACAAAATCACTATGATATTTGAAATTTACGAAATGGATTTAGGTTGTCAGGCTTCGCTCATTGCAGAAAATTCCCCACTGCTGCCTCCTGTATGAGTCTGGGCTGAATACTTGCTTCCGTGTGGAGTTTTAGTTGAAATATATAGAGTGTCTAAGTAGGGTGATTTGTTAGAGAATCAAATATTAGAATGTGAGATAAGAGAAATATGGTGAAAGTGACTCGGCCTCCAAATTTAGGGTGGTAAGGTAACTGTAGTACAAAATGTTTAATTGTTATAAGTAGCATTTAGCTGGTGTCCCCCAACATTTTGTTGTTGCCTGTACTCATGGAATTACAGATCATTGAAGGGGTATATCTAGTTATACAACACACTTGCAGCACATTAACATCCTATATTATTGCAGAGTAAAATATCAAGTTCAAATGCTATTGTTACAACCAAGGAAAGACAGTTTCCAGTACCTTTTGCATCAGTGCAATTACTGTCTCACAATGAGTATTTCTGAAGATGCAGATGGTTTAGCAATATCCACAATGACCTAACCATCGAGTACATTGTGTAGAAGACAATAAGCATAAAAATGAATAAACTTACCTTAGTTGACGATTTAAGAACAAAGAATATGTTTTTCTGTTTGCAACAAGTGAACTAGCATTGACTGAGTACAGATTTTTATACAGATCAATATCTCTTCTACCAAATATAGGCCATATATTATACGCATCCTGAAGCTCAATGTAATAATTTATGTCTGGAGAGGAGAATGCAGCAAAGGGAGAAACTTTTTCTGTGCTCAGATCAACCTGTTCTTCAATGTGATCTTAAGAAAATGCTCAATAAGCACCTCAGGATATTCACAGATATTGGGTTTGGACTTTCATGTCTCGATTTTTGCTCATCTTGGAGAGGGAGGGAGGGAGGGGGGGGGGGGGGTGGGGGTGGGCGTGGTGTTAGGTTCTGCATCATCTTGGCTGCCACTTCTGCAATGGAGCTGAAAATTCAGAAATTCAAATTCCGATTATTTCACTTTTCATTCTGCTCCTTATAGTAGAGCAAATATATTTTGAAGCCTTCAAAAAATTGTATGAAGTTTTAGATAGCAACTACAAGAGGGGGGGTGAATTGTAGTATAGGTAAAGTAGTAGACTTTTTGCGGAAATTAAACGATGTAAAACAATAGAGAGAAATGATATGGGCTTTTCAGAATTTCCATTATGTAAATCAAACTCTTTTACAAGAATAAACCCGAACGAAGTAATATATAAAGCAGCTTGCAAGATAATTTTCCACATTTCCTTCTAAAATATAACAAGCGAAATAGCATTGGATTAATAACAGGTAAAGACGAGAAAGAGCATATATAAACAAGAGTTGAACTTCAAACTTTAAGTACTTTGATTATGCTAATTCAGCAATGTATTGATGCAAATGAGAAGTAAGTAAGTAAGTAAAAAAAAAAAAAAAAAAAAAAAAAAAAAAAAAAAAAAAAAGGGCAACCATGCTTCCCACATCCAAACGGTCAACAACTTGCCAGCAGGGTAGTTTTGAGCATGTGCCAGGTGATCGATCGCACAAGGCCCCCTAAGTGAAATTACTATGAAAGGTCCCGGTTTTGAATTTAGTAACATATTTTTCCTCAAAAAATGATTTTAAGGCCCAATTTAACAAAATTGCACCGGACCACTTCAGTGTTAGCATTTGCAACCCCGCCATTGCCGGGTCGATCACTAATTAAATCATATAAGTAGTTATAAATTTAATGTCTTTAAAGTTGACTTGAGAAGGTTACTAGCAGCCTCCAAACTATAGCGTCATAATTCATTTCATCCAATCAATTTCTACATTGAACCGTTGTACAAAAACCCAACAGAAAGTCGTCGATTAGTTGTAGCCAAAAGGATGAAGAATGAAGTCTATGAGGCTGCTGCATCAGGAAACGTAGAGTTCCTTAAAGAAGTCGGAGCTACGGATATCGAAACGGTGGTAGCTGCCTACACCAGTGTCGATCTCCTAGCATTGACTAGCCATGGAAATAACATTATCCATCTTGCTGCGCAACACGGGCACCTTAAAATTCATCACGGAGGCTTTGAAAATCTTGCCTGCATCCGTCGATCGAATAAAACTAATATGTGGGAAAAACACCGAGGGCGATACCCCTCTCCATATGGCTGCCAAATTACAGACCAAAGAGATAGCCGAGCATCTGATTTCCTCCTATGAGGATCTTTGTGTTGTCGATGATGCCGAGCAAGAGATAACCTTGCTGTGGAGGGTTCATAATAACCAGGGCAATGCACCACTACATGTAGCATTAATGAATGGGGGTAAGAGTATCCAAGTTGCGTTTTACTTGTTTTGTGTTGGTCCTGAAGTGGCTGCCTGTACCAATCACCGCAACGAAACCCCGCTGCATCTCGCCGTTATGTATGATAACCAAGGTGCATACTTCTGAATTCTATTTTCTGTTTGATATCTTAAAATTATTCCAAATTTAAGGTAGGGTTGTACACTGTTTGATCTAAACCTACCATAACCAAATTGGACCAAACTATATTTTAGCGGTTTGGTTTGGTTTACAGTTTATAAAAATGTGGTTTGGTTTAGGATTTTTTGTAAATACGGTTTACAATTTGGTTTGGTTTTTCAAAAATTTTAAACCAAACCAAACCATAAACCATAAACCAATAAACCCTAATTTAATATTTTTATAATATTTAAATAAATTAAAATAATTATTATAAAATAAAAAATAATAATAATAATAATAATAAAGACATTAAAAATCAAAATACAATATAGGGTATACAGTTGAGCTAATTATTTAAACTTCATTATAAGCTAATGAAGTCGTCTTATTATAAACCGCAAACCAAACTGCACCAAACCGTATTATTAAGGTTTGGTTTGGTTCGGTTTGAACCCTAATACGGTTTGGTTTGGTCTGAAAAATTGACCAAACCGTATTTTGCGGTTTAGTTTGGTTTGGTACTCAAACCGCTCCAAACCGGATCGTGATCACCCCTAATTTGAGGGCTTATAACAATAATAAATTTAATAACATGAATAAGGCTTATCCATTTGTTTTTTGTAGTGCATTAATTTGACAATGCACAATTTTGACTATTAATATATATATAATACCTAGTCAATCAATTAAAAAAACACTAAAAGTTAATAGTATAAAAATATGCATTGCAATTGATACATTAATATTTTACATTATAAAAATCACAATAATACATTAGTATTTCAATAATTTTTATACACTAGTAGAAAAATTGCACTATTAGAAAAATTGCTATTTGAAACTGGCGAAATTGACTTTTAGTAATTGATATTGTTGGCTGCTATTGCCATCGTTACAACAAGTGAAAATTATTCGTAACTAGCTAATATTAGTTACTAAGCTTTAGAGGAGTTACTGGCCTTCTTTATTTTCATTATTAGTAGTAGTTGGTCAGTTTATTATTGACCTACTACTTGTAACTGACTTTTGTTATGCCAGTTACTAATAATATTTTATTTGTAACCGACACTATCTATGTCAATTACTAATACTCTTGTTATAACTAACGTAAATTAAGCAAGTTATAAATAGGGTGTTACAAATAGCATTTTTTCTACTTGTGATAAGGTGTAGAGTAAAATCTTGAAATGAGACTAGTGTATATAATTGTTGCAATACAACCATTGTAAAACAGTCGTTTAATTTTCTAATAAAAACACTTATTTTGTAGGTGCTAAAATGTCAACGATAAACATGATCAACAAACTCAATGGGCAAGGGGCGTCATTGACTTTTATGAAAAACCTTTTTGAAGAAGACTCACTTTCTTTGATAAAATTTTTATTAGAGGAAAACAGCACAGTTTGTTGCTTCCATGATGCAAATGGGATGACCCCTTTACTTAGAGCAACAATCAACTCTTATCTACCAGTTGTCGAAGCCATAATTAGTAGCTGTCGCGAGTCGATTGAGATTTGTGATTTTAAGGGCAGGAATATCTTGCATCACATAAAATTTTCATCTTTCATAAAGGCAAATAAGTTCTTGAGGATTTCAGGAGTTTCTGTGTTGCTGGATCAACAAGATGATGATGGGAATACACCAGTGCATATTGCTGCACAAAATCATGACTTTGGTATGATAAAAGCTATGATTGAGAGCAATGATAACTTTGCAATAAAGAATAACGAGGGGATTTCAGCCGCAAGTATAATTCAGTCTGATTCAAATTTTTCAACGACATAATGGTATGGCTCTACAATCTAATATTATACACTTGAAGAGCATGGATGTGGTGAGAGGATACACTATAAAAAAATTGTGATGAAAGTAATAGAAAATATAAAAATTTTGCACACAACTTAATAATGCACTTTATACAATACTTTCCTTTAATTTGAATTAATTAATGATCATGTTATCTTAGGTTTTTTTTTTTCCTCTTTCTTCTGAATGGATCATTTTATCTTAGTTTAATAAACTCGTTACTATAAATATAACGATTTTAATAATTTTATCTATTATTGAAGTGTTGATCACTTATTTTGTGGTAGTTATTTTGTCTATATGCTAATTTTGTTTCCTAGTGATGTCCTCAGTTATTGATTACATTTTGATGACTGTTGTTATTGATTTACGAATATTTTATCTTTATGTGAGTACTGATTTACGAAAAGAAAAATAAATTTTAAAAAAAACCTTTATTGCAGAAGAAGGAAAACGACAATTGTGCAACTCATGGTGAGCTTATGAGTAAAGAAATTTATTCAACAGCTGCTACTAATGGTGACTGGGGTTCGTGTTACCTGACTCAACCTAGTGTGTCGTTCCAATAGGTGTGGGTACCTTGCATTGTACCATCGTTTCGCGAAAGAACATATAGCTGTAGTGTAAAGAACAAACTATTAAAATGGCACTAATCGGTTTGTTTCAAAAAAAGAAAAAACACACACACATATAATATGTAATGAACATATACCTAAAGTAAAATGAACATATTTGCACCAAAAAAGAGTGAAAAGAACATATGTCAATGTTCTTTGATTGTCAGTGTAATGTACTTTTATTTGTGATATAATGTTCATCGCTTATTGTGAAATGTTCTTTGAATTTTGTCTTAAAATTATGGTGGATATGTATAAATTATGTTCATTACATAATATTTTCATGTTTTTTATTAATGTAACAGATGTTCTTTAGATATAAAAAAAAATAATAATATAAAATTAGATGTTCTTTACAAAACAACTATATGTTCCTTACAAAACAACTGTTTGTTCTTTACAAAACAACTACATGTTCTTTCTGCGTTTTTTTGTCTATACCAAGCAAGGTACAAACTGTTGTACCTTAAAATTTTTAGACTCAACCTGACCCATTACTTAAAAGAAATGAGTGAAATTCTTGGCTCCACATGCCCTAGATTTTTTTCTTCTTTTGAAATAGAATATCTAGCGTCCCACATGCCCTAAAATTAGCAACTCAAATTCCATCGATCCCTCTAAAAAATATCTAGCGTCCCAAATCATCCTCTTATCCTCCCTATAAGACTATGTTCTCTTGACCTTATTTAAGATGACTTAATTTGAATTTATCTTTTTGATTTGATCCGATTAAATTCAACTAAACTTTGACTATAATTGTACACCAGTGTATAATAAATATCATTATCAAGTGGGATTTGATTTGATTCACCTCAACATGTATTTTTTAAATATATTTTTTTCATGATCTTTACAAATATGATATTTACAAATATGATATTAAGAATATATGATAATAAACAAACGAAGTTAAAAAGATCCAATCTAGTCTAACAAGTTTTGGTCTAAATTTTTTTGGTTTGATCTGATCTAATTTGATTTTAACCAAAATAAGTTATAAATAATAAGAATATATAAGGTGAAGGGAACAAAGCTTACATCACAAACTAACAAAAATATTTTCTTTGTATAGGACTTCTTCTCTTTCCCTACCTTTTTAAAAGTATGAATAAACTCTTATAAATAGTGTTGAGACTAATATGCCCCTAAAAATGTTTATTTATGAATTTACCCCTTTTAAGAGTATGACCACACTTTATAAATAGTGCTCAGATGATTATGTCCTTAAAATGTTTGTTTACATATTTGCTCTCATTAATGTTAATTGTTTTAATATTTTGAGTCTTAAGAATAGCATGTGGACATTTATACCCCTAAAAATATTTCTTTACATATTTTCTTTAATTAGCGCTACTAACAATGATAAATTGAAAAAATTTCTGGACATGGCTAGCTATGAAGCGTTAGTTGCCCTAGTCTTTTCAAGTCTATCATTTGCTAGTACGTACCCAACTACCCAACTAGTACACTAAAAGAAAATTGTCTTTTCGTAGCAATTATTTCGTAGCGATTTTACATTCGCTATAATATACACATATGTTTGTGAAATAATAGTGGAATCCGTATCATTTTACAATCGACATAGTAAACTCATGAAATCGATACAAAAAACATAATAATATTTATTCACCTTTTTTTTATGCACGTTTATAAAATTATGAAAAAGCGTATCGTTTACAATCGCCACTAAACCCAAAAATCGATACGAAAAGCCTTTTTTACACTAGATTTTAAAATTTTGTTTGACAAAGAGAACATAAAATATGTCATAGCTTATTGGATAAACATTTAATATTAAAGCTTAAGGTTGCATGTTCGAATATTGTATAGATCATTTGTAGGGAATTTTTTTATTTTTTATATTTTATTTTTAATTTTGGTAGAAAATGAGTTCAACATTTATAGTGATTATAATCGCTACAATAATCACCATGATTGAATGTTGTTTTCCGTATTGATTAATAAGGACAACCCTAGCGAAAGTGAAAAACACTACTAAAGGCTATGACAACGGTGGATATTGTATAGAATAACCATTCGTTGGGATTTTTTTTTTGTAGCAATTACAATAAATACGAAAAGATAAAATAATCGCTACGAAAAGGTATTTTTCTTGAAGTGGTATATTGTTTGTGCAATACACGATATACAAACCATAATATTAATATTGTATAATATTATAAGATAAATTAAATACAATTTGTAATAAGAATAAGTACTCCTTTACATTAATAAATGATCTATGGGTTTTGAATATTTTTTTTTAATTTTTTTTTAGAAAAAGTATCATAAATGATACAACCTTTGAGAGGTTGAAATAAGACAACCTTTTGATTATTTCTTGATATTACAATTTTTGGGGGTCTAAATTTTAAACAAGTAAAAAACTCATGACAAATGTCGGCATATGATTGGTCTAAACTATTAAATTTGGATATTATTTTCAACAAAATTAAATTTTGATTTTTAAAATTAAAATAAAAAAACTTTAGTTATGGCACCACCACAGACTCCCCCTTCTTCAGCCATGGCTGCACCTCCCTTTCCCTTCTCTAACACCATCAACCTCACCACCAAGAAACCCCCACATCAGTCCACAACCAACCACCCCCTATATATTTGCTACCATCTAAAAACCTTAGCCACGCAGCCAAAACCCAAAAACGAACCCATTTCACTGTCAAAAACCCTCCCCACTTACTTAGAAACCTTAAAATGAAACCCACCCCACCCTCAAATACCCCATAGGAACAGTGGCGAAACCAGGAGTTTCTAACCGGGGGGACAAATGAATATCGTTTAATTTGACAAAAACATTGAAGCAAAAAAAAAAAAAAAAAAAAAAACTTAAATACTTAAAGTTTAAAACTCAAAAATATAAAATACGGAGTACTTAGTCAAAAAATCAACATCATATACCAAGTTTTTCTCCATAAACGTAGATTAGGGGTTCATAATTTTAAAAATTTCGAACAATAAATAATATAACTATTTAAATGCAGTACTTGTCATAATTACCTATTACAATCGTGGGGTAATGTTCATATGCAAAACTACAATTACAATGATTCAAATATGTATATGGAGTAATTGTTAAGAAATAAATTGAAGTAATGCTATAGTCTTTGATTCTATTAAAGTGCTTATGTATTCAGAATACACCCAAGCAGACATTAGAATACCGAATTTCATTAACAATATATACAAGTAGTATCATACTACATTCATTAAAGAGAAAAATCATGTACAGGATTGTATAACTATATGTGTTGTAAAGTATGTTTCAAGATAAATTAGGATGGGCTACCTAAGACTTGCTTAGATGTAATTAAAAAAAATGTGACTGATGATGATGAAATGTCATAGGATAATATAGATTTAAAACTTGAGAAATATAGTATTCAGGTTAAGAAATACATGATTTGTAGTTCAACAATTATTCAAGGATATCTCTCCTTGTTATGATTGTGATTAATCAATAAAACAAAGACTTGATGCAATAATAAACATATAATCATTGTAATAATTACAAAGAATCAATTAATCTGGTCTAAAGGCCAAAAAAGAAAGTAAAATGCCTGCAGGAAGATTCGAACTCGATTCCTTAGATCACACTCTTAAGCTCATGCATCTTACCGCAGCGCCAACTTTTTGGTCTAACATATTATGCGTAAAATATCAGATTTTAACTAATATTGTTTGGGGAAGTGGGGGGAAAGTTGTACCCCTTTGTCCCACACAGGCTCTTCCAGTGCATAGGAACCCACTTCACACTCGAAACACCGCCACGAAGAATAGGGAAAAATAATAATTTGGATGGGCTGCGTCGAGATTGGGGGGTGGGGGGGATGAATTTGGATAGGTTTGGGTGGCGTCGGATGGTTTCGGTATAACACCCTAGGTTAACATGAGCCCATTTTTAAATTTTGTTCTCTTTGGGCTTAAGCCCGCAAGACTTTGCTTTAGCGTAGGACAGAAATCCTACCCAAAAGGTCGAAGGTGATTATGGTGTTCCCACATCATAAGTTGAGAAAAATGTAGCATTCTTTATATAGGGGTTGATACCTACTATAGAGGCCTTTTGGGTAGAACTTCTGCTCTGTACCAAAGCAAATCCTTGCGGGCTTAGGCCTAAAGAATGAAATATCTAATAGTTGGCTCATGTTGACCAAGGGTGTTACATCAATTCAACCACCCAAAGGTTGTATTATGTTAATTTTTCTTTTTGAGATACAAAAAACTTACAACCATATTATTTAAAAATACCCTTCATATAAAAGAAGTGGATTCATTCATTTCTTATCACTTGTGGAGGTAATACAATCTTAAATTATTTTTGTTATATTATATACGCCCAAGGTTAGGAAAAATAGTATTGCATCAAATCAAGTTAAGTTTACTTATTCCAAAGTGATAATACTTTGTGCCTTTAGGGAAAGGAGCCCTTACAAACTAACTCAGATTTTCCATGAGTTTCCCACCTTGCCACTAGGTGATTCGCTATATTACCTACTCTTTTAATGTGCAAAAAAGAACATATATTAAACAATAAGCTATCTTTTCTAACATCGTCATTATCAACCAGTGAATAAGAGAACTTCCGCAATCAACAGGTTTCGAAGCTCGAATAATGTTTTTCGCATTGCTTTCCGCCCATATATGTTCATAATCTAACCTTCTAGCAAAGAATAACGTATATCTTGCAGTCATTACCTCTATAATATCAAATGAAGTGGTAAGGATCTTGATAGGTTGTCATACACCTGTCAAAAATAAATTCCTAACAAAACCAACTAACAATGTAGTAGGGTAAGTAGGGTCGAATCCATATGGAGATGGTATTCAATCTAGCTTTCAAGGTATGGAGAAACTAAATTATGTCACGAAATTTGGATAAAAAATAAGTTTAAATTAAAATATGTATAAAACAATTAATAAAAAGACCTAAGGTTATGGTTCACCATGTTTATAGTTCTAAATCTATCAAATATCAATAACAATTCAATCAATCAATTATCTAGAGCAATTGCTAAGTCTACGGTCAGGTCTTAACGCTCTGAATTCAACAT